GTTAGATATGTTTTTATGACGCATTAATATACATTAAAAAGAACATGTATATTCTATAATGTCTTTGGATATCTTTAACATTACGATTTCTATGTGTTCATGATATATAAATACGATAGGATATGGAAAGGATATATATATATCTAATACATTTAAATGTTGGAATTCTATGTGATTGTAGTTTGATTGAGTCATTCTTAACAAAAACCGTTTTCATTTTCTAGTTTTCCAAAAAGTTTTCAGACGACCTTTCCAGTAGATTGCATTCAGTGACGATTTACACGTATCGAGAAATAGAAGTTTGTCGACTAATACATTTAAATCAGTGATATAAGACTCCGATTTGAGCAAGAGACTTGTAACAAATATCCTCGAATTGTTGTATACATTCCCAAGTACATGTGGCGTTTTATAGTTACTGTAACTGGTATAAAAATGCCGACAGTTGTTTCAATCGCCACACAATCTATCAATTTAGAGAGCGTGCCAGCAGGAAGCTTCGGATGAAATGTATCTCCAACCGATATTCTCTTTCTCCTCCATCTCTTCCCATCATTCTTCCTCCCTTTTCCCGTTGTTTGGTTCGATTGCACCGGTAACGATTTATACTTAGCTCAAAAAGTGTACAACGTCTCTGTCGCCGATACAATTTGTTTACATCACGTCGTACGAATCATGCTTTACTCAGAACACCTGCCAGAATTCAGCACCGTGCACAGTAACACACCTGTCAAACTTGTCCAATACCCATCACGTGCTTCTCAGCAGAAACGTACGCGTGTTACATACGTCTCTGTTCTCAACAAAGCGCACTGTATGTAAAAATAACTCGTGAATAACATAGCTGAGCATAAAACCATGGAAAAATGGATTTCTAATGCGGTATCACTTTCCGTCCCACCATCCATCCGTCTGTTCCATTTCTAGAACAGGTCTTGCTTTCAGTGCAACAACGGAGGTGGGGGCATCAATTGTGCCCCCGATATTCCATATCCAAATCTATCGGGTCTACAGTGGTGATAAGGACCGTGAAAGTCCGGTCATTTTTGGCGAGAGGCTCTGAATATCAACGTTCATGAAGGAGATGTATGACTCTAAAAACGGAAATTTCTTCAGAGTACGTAGATAAAGGGAACTGGGGTCATAATCACTTGATAATATTTTCAAATACATTGCAATTAACATATTAGGAACTACAGAGAAAAGAACAGGAATATGTTATAAGTTTATATGCATGTGACGATGAAAAGATGATGGTACCCAGTATAAACGAAAAAAAATAGTAACACAATAACAATTATGGCTGCGAGAAAGCAGAAAAGAAGATTTGAAAATTGTATTTTGAAGACGTGTATATGCAAAATAAACCGAAACGTGTACCGAGTGAAATAACAGCAGCCATGAAAAGTACTGGGAATTATAACCAAAAGGATTGGAAGGGGACAAATATAAGTTGAAGCGAGGCGTTATTGGGTGTCTGGAGGATTATGATGGAATTGTTGACCCAACCCATCCTTCTTACTACCCATTTACTATTTAACATTTGATGTCAGATCAATTACTGATTAAATGACTTCAAAATCCGGATATATACTATTTTGAAATTTGTATTTTGTTTATTCTTACTTATAGGTACATGTATTTTATATAGAGAGATAACTTGATAGCAGTGAGACTTTTTTGTAACTCTTCCCCATAAAGTGATATTTATTTTCCCGCTATTTTTTCCCGCCTAGAAATGCAGCATCTAAGAAAATGGCAAAGAGGTTCCGAATGGGAAATTACCCATTATTCCTAGACAGTCGGTTTACGGTGAAGTGATAGTGCATGATACGTATTATAAGGAATTTTCCATGTTTGGCATCATTTTGTTCAGATTTACACCAGGATCACGAAAATATATCATATGTAATTGTGGGGAACTAGAAAATTCCCCACAAACTGAACGAACCAAATAACGTTGGTCCTAAGATTGCTGAGAGTTCCCCACAATGAAGCGTATTCTAACCGTTATTCGTTAGTTTACATGTGGGTCCGTTGTTTACCTAGGTTGATGGTCGTTAGTTTACCTGTGGGTCCGTTGTTTACCGAGGTTGATGGTCGTTAGTTTACCTGTGGGTCCGTTGTTTACCGAGGTTGATGGTCGTTAGTTTACCTGTTAGGTCTGTTGTTTACCGTGTTTGATGGTCGTTAGGTTACCTGTTAGGTCCGTTGTTTACCGTATTTGATGGTCGTTAGTTTACCTGTTAGGTCCGTTGTTTACCGTGTTTGATGGTCGTTAGTTTACCTGTGGGTCCATTGTTTACCGTATTTGATGGTCGTTAGTTTACCTGTTAGGTCCGTTGTTTACCGTGTTTGATGGTCGTTAGTTTACCTGTGGGTCCATTGTTTACCGTATTTGATGGTCGTTAGTTTACCTGTTAGGTCCGTTGTTTACCGTGCTTGATGGTCGTTAGTTTACCTGTGGGTCCATTGTTTACCGTGTTTGATGGTCGTTAGTTTACCTGTTAGGTCCGTTGTTTACCGTGTTTGATGGTCGTTAGTTTACCTGTGGGTCCGTTGTTTACCGTGTCTGATGGTCGTTAGTTTACCTGTGGGTCCGTTGTTTACCGTGTTTGATGGTTGTTTACCGTGTTTGATCCTCGTTAGTTTACCTGTTAGGTCCGTTGTTTACCGTGTTTGATGGTCGTTAGGTTACCTGTTAGGTCCGTTGTTTACCGTGTTTGATGGTCGTTAGTTTACCTGTTAGGTCCGTTGTTTACCGTGTTTGATCCTCGTTAGTTTACCTGTTAGGTCCGTTGTTTACCGTGTTTGATGGTCGTTAGGTTACCTGTTAGGTCCGTTGTTTACCGTGTTTGATGGTCGTTAGTTTACCTGTTAGGTCCGTTGTTTACCGTGTTTGATGGTCGTTAGTTTACCTGTGGGTCCGTTGTTTACCGTGTTTGATGGTCGTTAGTTTACCTGTTAGGTCCGTTGTTTACCGTGTTTGATCCTCGTTAGTTTACCTGTTAGGTCCGTTGTTTACCGTGTTTGATGGTCGTTAGTTTACCTGTTAGGTCCGTTGTTTACCGTGTTTGATGGTCGTTAGTTTACCTGTTAGGTCCGTTGTTTACCGTGTTTGATGGTCGTTAGTTTACCTGTTAGGTCCGTTGTTTACCGTGTTTGATGGTCGTTAGGTTACCTGTTAGGTCCGTTGTTTACCGTGTTTGATGGTCGTTAGTTTACCTGTTAGGTCCGTTGTTTACCGTGTTTGATGGTCGTTAGTTTACCTGTTGGGTCCGTTTGGATTGACTACGATTGACATGGAGGGTGTCGCTACACTGTAAGAATACCTGGTCTTATTCTACTTTTCAGGAATCTCCATTCAGATTGTTCTTTTGTTCATGTTTTACAATAGTTTTATTTATTTCGAATTTAAATTTTGATTAGGGTAATATGTTGGTTTTTCTTTTAATTCAATTTTCTCTTTCAAATTATTTGCAATATACTACAGGTATATACAAATGAAATATTAAACTGATAATATATTGATTATTTAGACATATTTTATTATCAGAAACAAATAAATGAATCAGAGACAAGCTCTAGTAACTAATAAACTCTTCTCTATAAATTAACTACAAATAATCTATACACTGCACGTGACACATATTCATACTACAAACATGAAGATATGTAATAAGTAGATGTAAAATTGTTATTTTAAATCATTTTGTCAAAATGGAAAGAACAGAAGAGAAAAAAATATTTACAGAGATTCTATCGATTCAATGCCGACCCCAAACAGTTCAGATTCAGGTAGTACTAAAACACTTTGTTTGTTTTATAAATTTTTGAACAAACCTGACAATATTACAATTAGTTTCATGAGTAAACATCATTTTCATCACATGAGGAAGTTTGTGTATAGAAATCTACGTCTAACTCACACAAAGTATCAGCCAGTTTACGACTATAAATATAAAATAATGAACATGTAAGGAAATAGTGACTGGCGTCTTTAATACCATCACCACACGGACAATTCGTATAAAATATCAAACACAAGCCACTAGAGTGGTGTCTAATTCTGTCAGGTGTAACAGAAAGATATCGATTATTAGGTTTTAAATTATCAGGAACTGAAGAATACGTGCGGGAAAATTTGGTTTTCAAGTTAATTAGTGATGTAGCCGCTTCAGTAGAATTGTCTGAATTATTCCTTAAATGTATACACGACGTAACAAAAGACTTTTTCAGAAGATTGATAAAGATGGAGGAAAAAAGAATTAACACATTTAATGCAAGGTAATTTTTTAGATCTTATACATTGAATTAATAGCAGAATATAATTACATTTGAATTGTAATACTTTAAAGTACCAAATATACGTACACATTACACAGCAATATATCTTCTATGATATCTATCTTTATCAAAAAAATATCTGGGACCAATAACGTAATAATAAGTTATGACGAACACACACACACCCTCACACACACACAAACACACGCGCACACACACACACACACACACACACACACACACACACACACACACACAGAATAACAGAATAATTACTGTACACTATACAACAGAATAACATCTTATAATATATATATGATATTTACTAGAATAGAATGAATAGGAAATAGCTGAAAAGAAAATGAAATCATTATACTTTGAACGTAGTTTGGCATAATCTTTTTAAGCATAATTTTAAAGAAATTATTGCAATGATGAATTAGCGCATTCACAATGATTGCTGTATAAAAACACCGTAACTGCAAGTAGTGTAATCATAGCTTCAGCGCGAAAAACACCAGAATAAAGTTACCACTAAAATTAATAAGTTTAAAGTAAATGACATACCCAGTTTATATTTAATATTGAATTGGTGTAATTATTCTAACTACGTCCGGTTCTTTTTTAAATTGTGACGTCATCTTATTGTTGTCATTTAGAATTGTACATACACTAAATCCATATAGCTTGTATATTGCTATCGCCCACACTTGTTAAACAGGTATTGATATGGCACCATATGCCGTCTCCTTGTCTAATATGTTTACTGATATTTCCACTTTCTCTGTGTAGTCCTTGTAGTTACAGATATCCGAACGTCGTGTAGTATCTAAATGTAATGTTTCGCTTCTCTTAAGCATTGCTGATCTCTTTGTTGTGACGAATAAACTTGGAATCATGACCAAACCAGCAACGACTATGCTTGAACCAGTGAAGAAAAACTCGGCTCCGTCAAACCTTGTCATTCTCGATACAATCCCTACAAGAATACAAAATGTTATGTCTCTCTTCTCTAGAAATATGTTGTCATTCTCGATACCATCCCTACAACCATACAAAATATTATGTCTCTCTTCTCTATAAATATGTTGTCATTCTCGATACCATCCCTACAACCATACAAAATATTATGTCTCTCTTCTCTAGAAATATGTTGTCATTCTCGATACCATCCCTACAAAAATACAAAATGTTATGTCTCTCTTCTTTAGAAATATTTCTCACGAATGCCAGGTATAACATTGTAACGTAGAATCCTCGTTAAAACAGTTTATAACAGTAGAGAGGGAGGGGGACACAGAGAAATGACAAAACACGTGCTGCATTGTCCTCCTCGAGTCTTTCACTTTCACCGTCGTATCTGGTTATGATCAATTCAATCGAGGGCGATCAAACATAACAGAACCAAAAATAATATACACACACTCATAAGGACTTTTCTCTCAATTTCCTCCTTAAAATAAAAGACATAAATTATCGATCTTTAGCTGGAGAGAAAAGCATTATAGTCTCCATTTTGATTTATATCCTTAGGTTAAAATTAAGCACAGAACTGATTTCTATCTACAGACTTCAGAAATAAAAAATACGTTCGGACAGTCAACTATCATATCAGTATGTATATACCTCTGTTACTGGTATATTATGAACAAAAACCTAAAATGCATAATTTCTTTGCGTTAATTTGTAGATATTAATCAAAAGCTATTTTACAAGAATATTTCTATGTAACATTACGCCGTTCAGAAAAGTGTTTTGTAGATAACAACCATAAAACTATTTTCTATTATTGCGCTCAAGAGACTGCCTGCACATTTGCTTAAATTTTGGCAGAAAAGAATTTTTTTCAATAAATGTTTTTTTAAAGATCAATGCTATGCTGAACTTGTGTCTGTAGAGGTCAGTGTACTAGACATGTAACAGTAATTTTATATACTATGGTGACCTTGTGAGTGTCTGTAGAGGTCAGTGCGCTAGACATGTAACAGTAATTTTATATACTATGGTGACCTTGTGAGTGTCTGTAGAGGTCAGTGCGCTAGACATGTAACAGTAACTTTATATACTATGGTGACCTTGTGAGTGTCTGTAGAGGTCAGTGTACTAGACATGTAACAGTAATTTTATATACTATGGTGACCTTGTGAGTGTCTGTAGAGGTCAGTGTACTAGACATGTAACAGTAATTTTATATACTATGGTGACCTTGTGAGTGTCTGTAGAGGTCAGTGTACTAGACATGTAACAGTAACTTTATATACTATGGTGACCTTGTGAGTGTCTGTAGAGGTCAGTGTACTAGACATGTAACAGTAATTTTATATACTATGGTGACCTTGTGAGTGTCTGTAGAGGTCAGTGTACTAGACATGTAACAGTAATTTTACATACTATGCCGACCTTGTGAGTGTCTGTAGAGGTCAGTGTACTAGACATGTAATTTTATATACTATGGTGACCTTGTGAGTGTATGTAGAGGTCAGTGTACTAGACATGTAACTGTAATTTTATATATATTTTATATATACATTGTCTTGATTATCAATCTCATTTTGTGATAAACATACCTACCCGCCAGAGGATTCCCGGTAAAGGATGCTATTGTGTACGCCAAATATACCATACTGAAACATCCCGATAATTTACTTGGCCCGAAAAATTCAATTAATAGCATGTTTGCCAGGTAGTGAATGTTACCTGTAAAGAAAAAAAATCAATCATTTATTATCTCTAGCATTTAATAATGCTGCAATATCAAATAGGCATTTAAAACAAGTTTTGACAACTGAAAAGTAAATACGCATATTAAATGCGAATGCATTTCTTTTTTTTTCTTATTGAGTAAACTGAAAATGGGGTACTTCTTTTACCAAGTCGCATCAATAGTTGTTTTTGGTTTTTAAGTGTTAGTATTTGAAATATTACCCCTGTAAAAAATTTTCTAACAATTTTAACTGACAAGCTCAATAAATAGCATTAGACATGCCTCATTCACTACTATAAGGATTAAATATTTTCGCCGGATTAAGAGTACCCCGAAATCAGCGAGAACAAATCCCCCACGAAAATGAACGATCTTACAGCATATGTGGTTTATGTTGACTTGAACTACTATTTTTACCAAAGAAAAATCCGAATCCAATGGCTGCAGCATAGAAATGGAGTGCAACCGAACACAATGGTATAGATATGAGAGATCCGCCACTGAGGACGCATGCGCAGATGAAGAAGTAGATAATCAATTGGGCCTTCTTCTCAATAATGATCATTCCGACCAGTTTACCGAGAGTGTTCGCTGCACCGGCAAAGAGAAGTGTCGTCGACGCCTGATCTAATGAAAACATTTGCTTGATCATGTAGTTAGGGAGACGCGAATATGTTACCATATACCCGACCAGGTAGAAGTAAGAAGATAAAATGCAGAGGTAGAGGAGAATACTTCCAAACAGTTCTTTGTCTAAGTATACACTATAGGCCTTGATAACCAAAAGGAGAGTACTATCGGCACGCTCTGTAACAAAACAAAGATACACGTATATAATACACAAGTATCAAATAATTCAACTCAATCAATATGTTTTACTGTTTCCGGTGACTCTTCTCTTTGTTTTATTTTCTGTTGAATGATATATACTATAAAGAATATTCCTGTAAACTATTGGAGATGTGTTAAGAAAATTAGGCAAATTTTTATATCACTTCTTTTAAATGACAAGCTTCGAAATCACAAAATGGCAATGCATTACCGGTATGAAGTCAGTTGAATGTAACATAAGATGAAAAAAAGAGAAAAGAAACTAGACATTAACACAAGAGATTATCACTTAAAGCTCGTAATCAAATTGTTAAAGATATATAAACTTTCTACCATAAACAACTAAACAAATTTTAATATTATCAGAGAGATAAATATCTTTTCTCTACAAAGTAACTCAATTATCAACATTTCTGTTTCTTCCAGTAAGGTCTAAACATCACTATCATTTGATTTTGTCTACAATGTCTACCTATTTGATGAGGTGCCTTCTGGGTGTCCCTGTATGTAATAAAATATTTTGTCCCTGTATGTAGATGTTGGGATATTTGTCCCTGTATGTAGATACAGTAATACAATTTTATGTAGATGTTAGATATTTTGTCCCTTATGTTGATTAATACACTGGTAATAATTTTGTCCCTGTATCAATGAAGTATTTTTCCCTGTATGTAGATGTTGGGATATTCACTGTATATTGTTCCCTGTATGTAGATGTTGTATGATAGATGTTTGATATTTTGTCCCTGTATGTAGATGTTGGGAAATATCCCTTTGTCCCTGTATGTAGATGTTGGGATATTTTGTCCCTGTATGTATGTAGATGTTGGGATATTTTGTCCCGGTATGTAGATGTTGGGATGTTTTGTCCCTGTATGTATGTTAGATGTTGGGATATTTTGTCCCTGTATGTAGATGTTGGGATATTTTGTCCCTGTATGTAGATGTTGGGATATTTTGTCCCTGTATGTAGATGTTGGGATATTTTGTCCCTGTATGTAGATGTTGGGATGTCCCTGTATGTGATGTTTTGTCCCTGTATTAGATGATGTTTTGTCCCTGTATGTATATTTTGTCCCTGTATGTAGATATTGGTATGTTTTTTCCCTGTATGTAGATGTTGGGATATTTTGTCCCTGTATGTTGATGTTGGGTTATTTTGTCCCTATATGTAGATGTTGGGATGTATTGTCCCTGTATGTAGATGTTGGGTTATTTTGTCCCTGTATGTAGATGTTGGGTTATTTTGTCCCTGTATGTAGATGTTAGCATATTACTTCCCTGTATGTAGATGTTGGGATGTATTGTCCCTGTATGTAGATGTTGGGATATTTTGTCCCTGTATGTAGATGTTGGGATATTTTGTCCCTGTATGTAGATGTTGGGATATTTTGTCCCTGTATGTAGATGTTGGGATATTTTGTCCCTGTATGTAGATGTTGGGATATTTTGTCCCTGTATGTAGATGTTGGGATATTTTGTCCCTGTATGTAGATGTTGGGATATTTTGTCCCTGTATGTAGATGTTGGGATATTTTGTCCCTGTATGTAGATGTTGGGATATTTTGTCCCTGTATGTAGATGTTGGGATATTTTGTCCCTGTATGTAGATGTTGGGATATTTTGTCCCTGTATGTAGATGTTGGGATATTTTGTCCCTGTATGTAGATGTTGGGATATTTTGTCCCTGTATGTAGATGTTGGGATGTTTTGTCCCTGTATGTAGATGTTGGGATATTTTGTCCCTGTATGTAGATGTTGGGATATTTTGTCCCTGTATGTAGATGTTGGGATATTTTGTCCCTGTATGTAGATGTTGGGATATTTTGTCCCTGTATGTAGATGTTGGGATATTTTGTCCCTGTATGTAGATGTTGGGATGTTTTGTCCCTGTATGTAGATGTTGGGATATTTTGTCCCTGTATGTAGATGTTGGGATGTTTTGTCCCTGTATGTAGATGTTGTGATATTTTGTCCCTGTATGTTGATGTTGGAATGTTTTATCCCTGTATGTTGATGTTGGGATATTTTGTCCCTGTATGTAGATGTTGAGATATTTTGTCCCTGTATGTAGATGTTGGGATGTATTGTCCCTGTATGTAGATGTTGGGATGTGTTGTCCCTGTATGTAGATGTTGGGATATTTTGTCTCTGTATGTAGATGTTGGGATATTTTGTCCCTGTATGCAGATGTTGGGATGATATGTGTATGTAGATGTTGGATATTTTGTCCCTGTAGTAGATGTTGGGATATTTTGTCCCTGTATGTGATTGGGATATTTTGTCCCTGTATGTAGATGTTGGGATATTTTGTCCCTGTATGTAGATGTTGGGATATTTTGTCCCTGTATGTAGATGTTGGAATGTTTTATCCCTGTATGTTGATGTTGGGATATTTTGTCTCTGTATGTAGATGTTGGGATATTTTATCCCTGTATGTAGATGTTGTGATATTTTGTCCCTGTATGTAGATGTTGGGATATTTTTCCCTGTATGTAGATGTTGGGATGTATTGTCCCTATATGTAGATGTTGGGATGTGTTGTCCCTGTATGTAGATGTTGGGATATATGTAGATGTTGGGATATTTTGTCCCTGTATGTAGATGTTGGGATATTTTGTCCCTGTATGTAGATGTTGGGATATTTTGTCCCTGTATGTAGATGTTGGGATATTTTGTCCCTGTATGTAGATGTTGGGATATTTTGTCCCTGTATGTAGATGTTGGGATATTTTGTCCCTGTATGTTGATGTTGTGATATTTTGTCCCTGTATGTAGATGTTGGGTTATTTTGTCCCTGTATGTAGATGTTGGGATGTATTGTCCCTGTATGTAGATGTTGGGATGTTTTGTCCCTGTATGTAGATGTTGGGATATTTTGTCCCTGTATGTTGATGTTGAGATGTTTTGTGACTGTATGTTGATGTTGGGATATTTTGTCCCTGTATGTAGATGTTGGGATATTTTGTCCCTGTATGTAGATGTTGGGATATTTTGTCCCTGTATGTAGATATTGGTATGTTTTTTCCCTGTATGTAGATGTTGGGATATTTTGTCCCTGTATGTTGATGTTGGGTTATTTTGTCCCTGTATGTAGATGTTGGGATATTTTGTCCCTGTATGTAGATGTTGGGATGTTTTGTCCCTGTATGTAGATGTTGGGATATTTTGTCCCTGTATGTAGATGTTGGGATATTTTGTCCCTGTATTTGGGATGTTGTATGTAGATGTATTTTGTCCCTGTATGTAGATGTTTGGATATTTTGTCTCTGTATGTAGATGTTATATTTTGTCCCTGTATGCAGATGTTGGGATGTTTTATCCCTGTATGTTGATGCTGGGATATTTTGTCCCTGTATGTAGATGTTGGGATATTTTGTCCCTGTATGTTGATGTTGGGATATTTTGTCCCTGTATGTAGATGTTGGGATATTTTGTCCCTGTATGTAGATGTTGGGATATTTTGTCCCTGTATGTAGATGTTGGGATATTTTGTCCCTGTATGTAGATGTTGGGATATTTTGGGATGTTGGGATTTTGTCCCTGTATGTCCCTGTATGTAGATGTTGGGATATTTTGTCCCTGTATGTAGATGTTGGGATATTTTGTCCCTGTATGTAGATGTTGGGATGTTTTGTCCCTGTATGTAGATGTTGGGATATTTTGTCCCTGTATGTAGATGTTGGGATATTTTGTCCCTGTATGTAGATGTTGGGATGTTTTGTCCCTGTATGTAGATGTTGGGATATTTTGTCCCTGTATGTAGATGTTGGGATATTTTGTCCCTGTATGTAGATGTTGGGATGTATTGTCCCTGTATGTAGATGTTGGGATATTTTGTCCCTGTATGTAGATGTTGGCATATTTCTTCCCTGTATGTTGATGTTATGATATTTTGTCCCCGTATGTAGATGTTGGGATATTTTGTCCCTGTATGTAGATGTTGGGATGTATTGTCCCTGTATGTAGATGTTGGGATGTATTGTCCCTGTATGTAGATGTTGGGATGTGTTGTCCCTGTATGTAGATGTTGGGATATTTTGTCCCTGTATGTAGATGTTGGGATATTTTGTCCCTGTATGTAGATGTTGGGATATTTTGTCCCTGTATGTAGATGTTGGGATGTATTGTCCCTGTATGTAGATGTTGGGATATTTTGTCCCTGTATGTAGATGTTGGGATATTTTGTCCCTGTATGTAGATATTGGTATGTTTTGTCCCTGTATGTAGATGTTGGGTTATTTTGTCCCTGTATGTAGATGTTGGGATGTATTGTCCCTGTATGTAGATGTTGGGATGTATTGTCCCTGTATGTAGATGTTGGGATATTTTGTCCCTGTATGTAGATGTTGGGAACCGTGTCCCTTATATAGATGGAGATATTTTGTCCCTGTATGTAGATGTACAAATATTTAATCACAGTAGTGTGTGCAGAAAACGTTCGATTAACTCTGGGGTTCCTCAAGGATCTATGTTAGGGCCTCTATTATTCTTAGTTTACGTTAACGACATCAGCGAGGGTATTTCGTCGGATATCAACTTATTCGCTGACGATACGTCACTTTCTTCGGCAATATCTGGTCAGGCCTCTGTAGAACGACTGAACAATGATTTATCTATATTGTCTCAGTGGGCGAAACGATGGCTAGTTTCTTTTAATGCTTTGAAGACCGAACTTGTTCTTTTTACTAAAAAACGAGCATTGGTTATACCTAACTTAATTCTTGATAATAT